TGGCTGATTATTGGATGACCACTACATTACAATGAACCAACGTGAACCAAAGAAGATCAGGCTCAAAAATTAAAATAAGAATATAAAAACAGTAACAACCACCACAAAAAACCAGCAAAAAACTCAGTGGCTACTACAGCAAATACATAATCTATAAAATTAGTCCAGGAGAGTCACTTAGCAAATAAGTGGCAAGAAGAGAAACAACAGAACCAGGGACAACAACAAACTCTGGAGTGGAGGAAGGTATCTGATATCAGAGTTGTTCCAATATGTTGTCTAAAAACAACAAAAAAAAAAATCACAAAACCTTAAAAGAACAGAAAAAGCATGACACACACAAAGGAAAAATCTATTAATAGAAATTATCATGGAAGAATTCTAGATATTGGATGTGTCAGACAAATACTTTAAAAATATGTGTAAAGAACTTAAGGAAATCATGCCTTAAAAAAATCAAAGGAAAGTATGACAACTGGATATCACCAAATAGACAATATCAGTGAAAAGGTAGAAATTGTTGAAAAAGAACCCAGTAGAAATGCTAGAGTTGAAAAGTACAATTACTGCAATAAAAATAATCACTGGGTCGGCATAATAACAGATCTGAGTATAAAGAAGAAAGGATCAGCAAACTTGAAGATAAACCAATGGAGATTATCAAGTGAGTGGAATAAAATGAAAAATGAATGAAGAAAAATACAGAGAAATGAATATACCTGTGATACATCATGAAGAATACCAACAAACACATAATGGGAATCTCAGAGAGAAGACAAGAGAAACAGGGACAAAATTACTTGAAAAAATAGTGGCCAAAAATTTGACAAAAACAATTCATTTATACATCTAAGAATGTCAACAAACCCCAACGAACTTAATGAGATTGACATCTATACACATCATAGTGAAACTAACAATGTTAAAGACAAAGAGAACATTTTGAAAACAGCAAGAGCAAAGCAATATTTACTTACAAGTGAATCACAATATGATTAGCAGCAGATTTCTAATGAGAAATCATGGAAGCCATTAAGAATATTAGATCACACCTTCAGAATGTTGAAAGAAATGACTGTCAACAAATAATTATATTCCTAGCAAAATTATCCTCAAAAACAAAGAAGGAAAAATCAAAAGACAAGTCACATCCACACAAAAACTTGCACCTGTATGTTTATAGCAAAGCTTTATTCATAAATGCCCAAACTTAGAAGCAACGAAGATGGCTTTCAGTAGGTGAATTGATAAATAAAATGTGATACATCTAGATAATGGAATATTATTCAGCAAATGAAATGAGCTATTAAGCCAGGAAGACAGGGAAAAACTTAAATGCACATTACTAATAAGCAAACCTGAAATACCTACATACTATATGAGTCCAACCTTAAGACACTCTAGAAAAGAAAAACCATGGAGACAGTAAAAGGATCAGTAGTTGCTAAGGGGAAGGATGGCAGGGAGGGATGAATAGGTGGAGCACTGGGGATTTGTAGGGCAGGAAAGATACTCTGTACAATACCGTAGTTGTGGATACAGGTCATTATACATTTGTCCAAACCCATAGAACATGTAACACCGAAAGTGAACCCTAAGGTAAACTATGGACTCTTAGTAATAACGACATAATTGATCAATTGTAACCAATGTACCATTCTGCAGCAGAATATTGATAATGAGGGAGGCTGTGCATGTGTGGGGCGGGGGATATACAGGAAATCTCTGAACTTTCCACTCAGTTTTGCTGTAAACCTAGAAGTACACTCAAAAATAAATTCTATTAAAAAGAAAACGAAGCTGGACACAGTGGCTCACACCTGTAATCCCAGCACTTTGGAAGGCCAACGCAGGCGGATCACGAGGTCAGGAGATGGAGACCATCCTGGCTAACATGGTGAAACCCCCATCTCCACTAAAAATACCAAAAAAAAAAAAAAAAGAAAAACCAAACATAGCCAGGTGTGGTAGTGGGCGCCTATAGTCCCAGCTACTCGGGAGGCTGAGGCAGGAGAATGGTGTGAACCCAGGAGGTGGAGGTTGCAGTGAGCTCAGACTGTGCCACTGCACTCCAGCCTGGGTGACAGAGCGAGACTCCATCTCAAAAAAAGAAAGAAAAAAAGAAAAAGAAAAGAAAGGAATTCTGGAGGCGGATGCTGGTGGTGGTTGCACACCATTGTGAATGTACTTTATGCCACCAAATTGTGTCCTCAAAAATGATTCAAATGATACACTTTACATTATGTATATATTACTACAATTAAAAAATTCCAGTGGCTGCAAAAGAAAAGATGAACCACAGAAAGGGAGAAAATATTTTAAAATATGTATCTGATAAAGGACTTGTACCCAAAATATACAAATAACTCTTAAAACTCAACAATATAAAAACCACCCAATTAAGAAACCAGCGAAAGATCTGAACAAACATCTCACCAAAGAAAACATACATATGGCCAATAAAAGCATGAGAATATGCTCAGTATTATCAGTCATTGGAGAAATACAAATCCAAACAATGATGAAATGCCACGTCACACCTGCTGCAATTGTTATCACTGAAAAGACAGAAACTAACAAGTGTTGCAGAGGATATGGAGAAATTGAAACCCTGGTACATTTCTATAGGATTTTAAGTTCCAGCCACATTGGAAGACAATCTGGCAGTTCCTCAACATGTTAAATGTAGTTACCCAGACTCAGCAATTCCACTGCTAGGTGTATAACCAAGAGAACTGAAAACATGTATCAACACAAAATCCTGTACACAAATGCCCATAACAACATTCATAATCATGAAAAAATGGACTCAACCAAAAGGTCTACCAACTGATTAATGGATAAACAAAGTATGGTATATCTGTACAATGAAATATTATTTGGCAATAAATAAGAATGGAGGGCCAGGGGCAGTGGCTCATGCCTGTAATCCCAGCACTTCGGGAGGCCGAAGCAGGTGGATCAGAGGTCAGGAGATCGAGACCATCCTGACTAACGCAGTGAAACCCCGTCTCCACTAAAAATACAAAAAATTAGCTGAGCTTGGTGGTGAGTGCCTGTAGTCCCAGCTACTCGGGAGGCTGAGGCAGGAGAATGGCGGGAACCCGGGAGGCAGAGCTTGCGGTGAGCCGAGATCGCACCACTGCACTCCAGCCTGGGCGACAGAGCAAGACTCCGTCTCAAGAGAAAAAAAAAAAAAATGAATGAAGTACTGATATGTGCTGCGATAGGAGTGAACCTTGAACACATTTTGCTAAGTGAAATAAGCTATTTGCAGAAGCTCACATATCATATGATTCCATTTATATAAAATGTCCAGAATAGACCAAACTGTAGAGACAGACAATATATAAGTGACTACCTAGGACTAGGTGAGATGGGTAGTGGGTGTGCGGAGGAAAAGGGGAGTGACCACTACTTGGTCAGGTGGTTCATTTTGGTGATAAAAATATTCTAAAATTAGATTAGGGTGATGGTTCCACCATTCAGAGAATATGGGATAACCCTCTGATTTGGGCACATTGAATGTGTGAATTTATGTATGTGCATTATATCTCAAATAAAGGTGATTTAAAAACAAAGTTGAAAAGGAAGAATTATAGCATAGAGCACCTTTTGTAATTATGACAGCCTAATGGGGATAGAAAGCAATTGGGACATGGCCAATGGCCAAGTACAGTGTTTGATTCCTTCACAGAAATGCTTCAGACTGGCTCTGGGTCCCTTGAGCTTAGCATTTTCAAGTGCGAGGAGAGCGTGTGTCCCTGCTGTGTTAACAATAATTTCACCGGGCAACCCACAATCAGAAAGCGGGACATGCCTGGGCTTTATTTTCGTCTTTCAATGATGGAGCCAAGCCAGCAACGTCAGGCAAAGAGGGAAAAAAACTCAAGAAGGCAGATTGCCTTTAAGAATTTTGCAAACTGATTTAAATGTTTAATCAGCACATTTCAACCACTTTATTAATATGTTTGCATACATATGTGTGCACGAAGGCAGGGCTTTTAGTATTCAGGATAACTCATCAAGATGGTGCATAGGTTTCTTCCAGAGTCATGCCATCAGTGTCTGTATGAATCAGCGAAGGCGGAGAACGCTAATGCTGTCGCGTGTTGCCGATGACACAAGGCCTAGACCTGTTCTTGAGAGTAGGGCACGCCCTGTGGGGCGGACACAGCGGCAGAGCCTGCAGATCAGGCAGGAAAAAGAGGGCAGGTGCACCAGGCCATAGAGCTCCAGCAGAGAGGGGGTGGTGTTATTCCAAGCATGGTTCAGAAGTGGGGAATTCAGGAGTACAGATGCAGGCAGAAAAGCAGCCATCTGGCAAATATCCAGCTCTGGCTCAGGGAGCCAGGGACCCCTGGTGACAGCGCCCACAGGGCGGGACAGAGCCCCTGCCCGATGCCATGGTCTAGGCAGTCACCAGTCTGGGCCCCAGGCAGCAGAAGCCACCAGGTTCCTGGAGTAAGTAACCACCTGAGAAAGGGTCCCTGAAGCAGGTCAGTATTCACCTATCAAAGCTGGAGACTGAAAGGAAAAAGGGTCTATCGAATCCTGGAGTGATTACCTTACTGAGTTCCTCTTTCCTGAGATCTGGATGGAATACATTCTGGGGAAGGGTGGAAGGTGTATGGGCATGGGCCATGTAGTTAGATCTGCATGGCGAGGACTCAGAGTCTGGGAGCCATTGACAAGCACCTCCACTCCTTGAAGGCCGACGGCAGCTGCGGCTCTCCAAGGTTAAAGAAATGAACCACCCCCTGTGTGTTGTCAGTGGCCAGGCCTATGTGGTGGAGCGCCTAGCCGTTCGTGAAAATCTGCAGTGGGATTAGGTGGCATTTGGCCGTTCATTTTTCGAGTTTCTGTGTCTTGGAGTAAAATTGAGAGAGCACATATGGCCTAAAAGTTTAACTCCTATTCATTGATCAGAATTATAATTTTCACTTTAATGATTTATAAATGTGTACCTTCAAGCGCTAATGTTTGCTCTGTATTTTTAGATGGCTATCCCAAAGAAGAAATGATTTATAGATGGAGAAAAAATTCAGTGGAGGCGGCTGACCAGAAATCATGGCGGCTTTATCAGTTTGACTTCATGGGCCTCAGAAACACCACAGAAATCGTGACAACGTCTGCAGGTAGGAATTTACTGAAAGAGGCATAGCTCTCAAAATTCAGCGAGGCCTAAGGCCATATGTAGTCATATCCTTAATGTCCCAGCCTTTCGGGTAACCATGATACATTAGTGATTCTGGAGACAAAACAAGTGATTCAAAGTGAAACTGTGTTGTAATGTTTTAATTGGTATGGGAGAGGGATGATTAGAATTAATTCATATTTTTGAATCCAGGCTGTGTTTGCATAATGTCTATAAACCTAGCTATAAACTTAACCTAACTCACTACTGACCATATTTACACAAACCAATTTTACTGATGGGGAGAATTCTGCAAATTTCCATGCACAAGAAGAATCAGATATTATTGAGAATCCACACATAAAAGAAGCTGGTTTGACATGTCCTTTGAGTTTCAATTCTTTTTATTTACTCTAAGTTTTATCTTTAACTTTGAGTTTCTTTTTCAATGATGGAGTGCAATAATTACCTACCAATTTGATTTTATGAAGTGATTATTACATGCATATTCAAAATCCTGTAATTAAATAGAAAGACTTCTTCTGCCTATGAATATATGTGAATGTGTTTTGTTTTGCTTTTTGTCTTATGTCTTATGTTGTTGTTTTCTGGTTTGGGTATTTCATTATTCCTAGGGTCTACTTTTTCACAACTGATTTTCCTTTGGCAGGGTGTGGGGTGCAGATGGGGGTAGAGTCAGCTTTTCTACTGATATTATTTGTTAGTATGAAGAATTTGTTGGCTCTTAAAATTATCTAATAATTTATTTTATTGGTGAGTAGATTAAGATGCCAGTTTTGAGAATTAATGGTAAATATCTTTAAAGCCCAGTCTTAATTCTTGATACCACTGTAAAATAGAGAGTTATTGACACATCAAGAAAAGTCCTGAAAAAGTTACCTGATTAAGGGAGAAAAACAAAAGATTCTCTATGGGTGTCATGGTGGAAAATGTAAGAAATGGGATCTGTGTTTAAATGTTAAACAATGACAATGTTAAATAATGGAACACCACAATTTATGTAAATGAACTGCGGAGGCAGTGCAAAGGGAAATGTTTTGGGATGCTTGCTGCCAATTAAGAGGCACCTACCTTGGTCATGTAATTCCCTGTCTTAAAGGCTGCAATGCACCAGCAGACCTTTGGGGTCTAAGGCTGCCTGAAGGGAGTTACCAAGCAGCAGGGAGGACTGCTCTAGCATTTACATCCCAAAGGTCACTGCTTCTCCTTTCCTGGTGTTCTCAAAACAAAAGGAAATGCAAAGTTAAGCTGAACCCATCTAACTCAGGGGATTTTGAAATTGATTGCAAGCAAATACTAGCTCAGAAAAGTGACAAATAGAAGGAGACAACAGATTTGAGGCAACAGTCTGGGCAATTCTTGTGCTAGGTGTTACTGTGGCTCTTAAAGAAATTATAATCGATCTCTAAAGTCATATTTTTAGTAAGTTTTACAACCATATTCGATCTTCTGTATAATTACACTTGTAAGGAAAATGTCCTTAGGATAATAAAAAAAATTCCCATTTCATATGCTCGTGACGGACGCATGGTAGCTGGAGCCCACAAGCATGAGAAGTCACACTCTGCCTGCAACTGGGGTGTGTTGTTGCGTGTTTTCAGGCCATATCCAGCGTCAATTCAGGTGTCAACAGTTCACTGTTTAATGAATATTCATGAAACACCATTGCTTGCTAAATGTGATTGACATTTTCACAATGTGGAGGATCACCCATGGGGCTGTAATGGCATTTGAAAGGATCCCTGTCAGATAAATGCCTTTTTATAGGCAAATGTTATTCCTTGTTTCTCAATCTCCTAACTCAAAATTATGACTACAGCAATAACACACTTACTTACATAATCCTTTTTTTCCAAGAAAACGAAAGCATTTGCAACACTGTCTACTTGGTTCTCACAAGTCGTTGTAAAGTTTGAAAAGGATGGACATGATTGTGCCAAGTTTTCAAGCTTATGTAAATAATTCTACTAGGGAACTTATCTGTGAAATGGAAACACTTTGGGAAACCTCAGAATCAGGATAACGAGATGTGAAGCCTGCAGGTGCATTGCCAAGTCCAGGCCCTGGGAGGTGGTCTGTGTCTCTTATTGCCTCCCACCATCCTCTCACTGTAGCTACTGTGGCCCGCCATGCTTTGGGCAGAGCCCTAAACAGCTGCATTTATTTGACTGGACCCACTTTTCTCTGTTGGGATAACATGAATATCAAAAAATATTATTTATGACATTCTGAGACTTGAATGTAATATATTAAATATGTTTATTTAAAATGCACAAAGACTGTTCAAAAACATTAGTCACTGAATTAGTTTCCTGGAGCTGCTTTCGCAGTTCTACCAACTGTGGCTCAAACGACAGAAACGTGTCTCTCAGCTCTGGAGGCTGGAAGTCTAAAATCAAGATGGCAGGCCTGGCATCTTCCGAGTGCCGTGAGGGAAGGATCGGCTCCAGCCTCTCTTGTTGGCTTGCAGGTAGTATTCTCTCCATGTCCTTCTAATGTGCAGCGAATGCAAGAAGTGAATTCTGTTCTTTTGTCTTCTCCCTGGAGGTGTCGATCTCTGTGTCTGCATTTCCTCTTTCTATAGAAACACCGGTCATATTGGATTAGGCCTGCCTTCATGACCTCAACCATTTTCAGAGGCTCTATTTCCAAATAAGGTCATGTTCACGGTACTGTGGGTTAGGACTCTAACATCTTTGGGTGAATACAATTTAACCCATGGCAGTAACCCAGAAAGTTTAGCACACTATGAAGAGTAGCATTTCAATTGCATTGGGAAATGAGATGTTCTCTTTATCCCAGACACATCCATTTTACTTGGACTTCCTAGTAAGTCCAAGTGTCTTGGACTTCTGACTGGCACAACAGTGTGCTTGGTTAGGTTACTGATGGTCTTGAACAGTGTCTGTGCAGTGTTTGTGCCTTCCTTAACTATTCTCCAAGGACAATTGCAGCTGACCTTTCCTTTGCACTAGCCAAAGGCCACCGTGCATAATAAAAATCAGAGACTTGTTTTTTCTTTTTTTGTTGTTGAGACGGAGTTTCACTCTTGCTACCCACGCTGTAGTGCAATGGCATGATCTCGGCTCACTGCGACCACCACCTCCTAGGTTCAAGCAATTCTCCTGCCTCAGCCTCTCAAGTAGCTGGGATTACAGGCTCCTGCCACCACGCCCGGCTAATTTTTTGTATTTTTAGTAGAGACAAGGTTTCACCATGTTGGCCAGGCTGGTCTTGAACTCCTGACCTCAGGTGGTCCACCCTTATGGGCCTCCCAAAGTGCTAAGATTACAGGTGTGAGCCACTGTGCCCAGCAAATCAGAAACTTTTTGTTATCTCTTCTATATATCTATATCTATCTACCAATTGCAATAAGAAGTAAACCTCTTACTTTTTTTATTCTAATAATTTAAAATATCTGTAGGCATACCATCACTGAGAATAACCTGCAGCGATTTCAAGGAAGTATATATCTTGGAATTATTGGAAACAGGCTGATGGTAAAACGTTCAGCTTTGGTTTTCAATAAATGTTGTTAATTAAAAAGAAGCTCAATATATATGGATATGCATACATGCATGAGTTGATACACACACACATATTTCCTGCTGTGTCAGCTGAGAAGTCCTAGGAGCAACAACACTGCAGGAGCAATAAGCACCCTTAGTGCCCAGATCTTGGCTTCTCATATCATTCTCCAGTTAAAGGAACCAGGGCTCCTTGGAAAAGTGGCAGATTGTGAGGCTGCAGCAGGGAATATACAAGATGAGCCTAGAGAATCTTGCAGTTCCAGAAATTAAGACACGCTAACCACTCACCTCACACCCACCCACCTACACACAAAATCATGGGGCTATATCAACAGATGCAACTAAAAGATATTACAACGGTCAAAGCCAAAAAATGTGAGCAGCAAGATAAATACAGTAGTATTGGATTATAACCCAAGAAGAAAAATCAATATCTATGAGGCCACACTGATGCAAATAAATGATTGAATAAATACATACATACCTACATGGGAGAACCCAGACAAATCCCCCATGCAGAATTTCACATGATTTATGTAGATGTTATTCTCTCAGGGAGGCAGGGCATAGCTCCCACTCTTCACTTGTGGGCTGCACCTGGTGACTTTCTTCCAAAGAGCACAGGAGGAGACAAAGGAAGAAGATGCACAGGGGATACGTCTGGTGAGCACCACTCAGCCAGGTGATCGGTGAACATGGTCAGTGATTACACATGGTGATCCTGTGTACCCTGCATATGATGCGGTGAAAATCCACTTTACGAGTCTGGAAAGAAGGTGGCTATGGAAAGTTATCCTCTTGGGTTGGTGCATCAGTGAGTCAATCGTTACAATACCCATGAGCCATTATCTCAGAGAGAAAGGAAGGAAAGATAAGTGGACTCTATACTCCAGACATTTTCTGAATTTCAAAACTGTGAAAAGAAGAAAGTGAAGAAAACAAGGAGAAGGGGTCTGAAAAGCAGACTCTGTCAGGGAGGGCAAGATAAGGAAAGCGCACCACTGAGGATGCACCGGGAAGGGGGTCGCGGTGAACATGCCGCTGGAGCTACAGCCCCCGGAGTTACCTGTACAGCGAGTGCAAAAGAGACTAAAAAGCCTGTGAAACTACAGCTCAGCCTTCAGTCACCCCAGCCCCTGATGGTATTAAGGTGATTAGTCCCAATCTTTGGCCTGGAAAAAAGAATGAAGAGCCCCCGCTTGAAGGATAATAAAATTTTTTTTTTTTACAGATTTTCATACAAAAAGTGCACTGTGGCCAAATGATCAAAACCCAAAAATAACACAGGTATCTGACTTTTTACCAGAAATCATGGCAACCAGAAGACAGGACAGTGGGAATTCCAAATGTGGTAAGAAACAGGAGGAATATATTCTATTAAAAAGCCAATAAAAATAATGGTGAAACTAATGACGTGTTCGGGCTAAAGAAAAACAGGAAAAGAGAAAGA